GCGCTTGTCCCTTGGGACTCACCGGGGACACAAACCCTGTGGGTGCTCAAGTCCCTTCTGCAAAAGGATGCAGTATTTCCACATCACATACACACAGCCTGCCACATACTGTAAACCATCTCTAGATTACTTATAATATTAACGCAGTGCGAGTGCTATGCAAATAGTTGTCATACTGTACTCTGAGAGACTAGGGACTGTGTCTGCCTTCAGTGAAAAAGAAGCAACTTTTTTCAGATATTTTGATCTGTGGCTGGTGAGAGCTACAGATGCAACACCCATGGGTAGCAAGAAGGAGCTGCAGCATTAAAGCGGCTCCTTCTAGGAGCCAAAGCTGATCGAGGGGGCTACCAGGCTCTGGGCCTGAGGCCACCGTGCTGAAGAGCAGCAGCCGAGCAGTGGGGAGCACTTCACATCGACCATCCATGCCTCTGAATCTTCCCAGAGCCTAGCCCAGCTCGCACCACACCCTGAGAAGGAGCAGAAGGCTCTACGGCAGGGCGAGAAGTCAAGGGAGGGGTGGTACCCAGCAGGGACCTGGCACGGGCATCCTGGGGACAGTTCCCTGCCCCCAGCTTGGGCTTCTGAAGGTAACGGCACTGTTCACAGATAACTGCTGATGGGAAGGCATCTTTTCTGGCTGAGTCAGTGTTCACTAAAAGCCACACTGACCCCTCACGGGCCAGGGGGGAGGAAGTCAGCTGTTCCCCTCTCTGCAGGGTAAAAGCCAGGCGTCATAGGGGACCCAGAAGCCCCAGCTAAAAAAGAGAGCAGGCAGCTGCTCCTGCCTTTCTGAGCCAGGATCCAGGAGTGGGGTCCATAGACCTCGCTTCCCGGGCTCATTTTTGTCAACGCATCATCAAGAACCTGGCACCCAGCTTGGTCCTGGTGAGGTTCCCTGGAGGACAATCGCTTATTCATTCAACCAGTTCCCACGTGCCTGCTCTGTGCCAGGAATCCAGGACACAGGATGGACACAGGGAAGTCCCTGCCCAGGAGGGTTTCCAGGAGCACTCTGTAAGTCAACAGACGGCAGCCTCCTAGGGGAAGGTGACGTTCAGACCCATGTCCGCTCACGAAGCTCAGATTGTGCTGATGCAAGCCAGCCACCCAGGAACAGCAGGCAGCGTCACTGAGCCGGAAGTGACTAGTCCTGCCTGGGGACACGCACGTGCGCTGGGTCTGCACAGAGGGCCTAGACATGGAGGGCCGGAGCCACAGTTTCATCAGCTCTCGTCATCTGGGCATTTGCCACAAGCCAGGAAGAAGACTGCTGAGAGTTTTGCAAGCACTTTATATATTGCATCCTCAGGATGTTTCATGAAGTCATTACCGTTAGCATCCTCGGCTTATGATTTGGAAAATGAGGCTCAGAAAGGGTGCCAGAGGGTGGGCATAGTGGTGCACGCCTGCAATCCCAGCACTCAGGAGGCTGAGGCAGGAGGATTGCTGCAAGTTTGAGGCCAGCCTGGGCTACATAATGAATTCAAAGCCAGCCTGGACTACACAGGGAGAATCTATGTTCAAACAAACAAACAAGTGAACAAGCAAACAAAAAGAGAGGGTCACAGAGCTAGGGCCAGGAAGAGCCAAGACTCTAGTTCCCAAGTTCTGGTCTGTGCTGCCACACTAGCTGGGCCCTAGGGATGGGGTGGCTTAGGAGGGGGAATGGCGGGGGGAGGGGGCAGGGAAAATACTGCACATCTTCGGGGAGTTGCCCAGCTGTGCTGCATCAGTGTGCACATACGCATAGGCAGGCTGCCGCACACATCCCCTCTGTCACCAAGGCCAGATCCTGGTCCTGGAGGCCCCTGAAAGCCACGTGAAGAGCGGGGCACTGGCAGGGCAGGGCCGGGTAGGGCAGCCCAGCGAGGACAAGGGACTTTTCTGCGTCACACAGTGCACAAATAGCAGAGCTGGAACCCACTCCAAGAGCCAGAACACAGGACTCTTTGCCCCTCAGCTGCTTCTCTGTCAGCTTGGAGTGAATCAGCTGCTAACAGGAAGCTGCCAGGGTAGGAGAATCCCAGAGGGTGCGGGGGAGCCCGGAGCACGCTGCTCGAGGGATCCCAGCTGGGCCAGGGTGCTGGCTTCGTGGCAGCATTAGGGGTTGTGGGCCAGGGAGCAGTGCACCCTACAGCATGGGCGCTGTTCACCTCGGGGCTTCCCTCCAGCCCTCAGAGTCCTACCTGAAGGAGGGCATAGTGGTGCCCTCATGCTAAAGGGGAAGCTGGTGGGCAAAGCTGTTCCTGCGGAGCTCAAAACCATCTCTCCTCCCCTTCCACCTCTGAGAGCAAGCTCAGGGCTGTCTGTTGTTCCTTAGCTTCTGGTGGGGTAAAGGCAGAGGCTACAATAGTCTGGAGCAGGAGCCGCTCCTGAGCACCAGCCTACCCCAGAGCTCCACACCGGAAGTCACACTGCTTGGCTGGGCACCAGGAGGGGCCATCTAGTCTTTGGGGATCAGGGTTGGGTCCCCTGGGTGGAAGGGGATGGTTAGGAGCAGCTTCCTCTTCTAAGGTCTGAGCCCTGCAGAAAGAGCTGAACTCCAGAGGGGGCCAAGGGAACCAAGCTCTGCTTGGTGGGAAATGCACGCCATACTTGGTATCATGTCAGTGCCATGACCAGCACCTGCCTGGCTGGGACACTCCTTCCCACAGGCTCCACCCTTCTGTGCCCCAGCCAGTCTCTTCCTTCATTCCAGCTGTGCAGGTCCCTCTTGTCCATCACCACAGGCACTGGCTCTTTATCCCATGGCCCCCAGGTCCCCACCGCAGCACCCTTGGCACAGTCCCGCACTCCTCTGCCATGTCACTGTCCTGCTCCAAAACCTTTGGGGGGGGCGTTCCTGTTTTCTACAACACAGACCCAAGCTTCTCGCCTTGGCATTCGATGCCTTTCATGGGCTGCTCCTACTCACCATTCCCACTCTACCTGCCCTGCAGGCCCAGACTTCAATTGCCCTGGACGACCTAGCAGTTTCCTGAGAAGCCCTGGTCAGTGGACTCCCCCACCCTCTGCCAGTCACCCTCCTCTGCCAGAGATGCTGTCTTGGCTCAGGCTGCCCTACCAACCCTTCAGGCCCTGAGGATCCCTCTAGCCCTCCTATCTCACATGTTGTATGAGGGTCCTGGTGTCTTATTGGGAGTGTTCCCAGACAGTAAACAATCTCAGGGGTTGGGCCTTGTCCTTTATCTCTGGGGTCAGGTGGGGGGGCATTAGATATTCACTGGGCATGATTTGCAACGCATACCCCCACCACACAGGGCAACACCTACCAAGCCCTCTCCCTCTCACGAGGCCAACCCAAGGAATGCCCCTGAAAGCCTTGCACAGGGGACACCATTCCCCATGTCAACCCAAGCCCAACTAGGTGGAAAGCCCTGCTCAGGTCTCACCTCTCACCCCTGCCCTCTTCCTCAAGTATCTCCCCTCTCCTGAATGCCTCCCTCTGCCCTACCTCCACATGCACCCCATTTCTGCCACCTGGACAGCCTTCCATGGGATGGTCCTTGGGTCCTTCCTGGCTTGGCCCCAGTGTTTGGCTCAACTCCCTGGATCCATAGGGGGCAAAGAGCACCTCAGTGTCCCTTGTGCCCAGCCCTGTTCGGATGGGCACCAGGTGCCCACACTGCCCCTCACCTCCACCCCAAGCAGAGCATGCAGTGGAATTGCTGGAGTTAGTCACCTGGTCAGTTCAGACCATGAGAACCCACTCCAGCAGGTGAGTGACCTGCTCTTCACCAGCAAGGACATGGAAGGGGACAGGGAGCCCTCACTGTGGGCAGCTCAGGGTGAGGGCAGAGGCAGTGTAGCTGCTTACCTCCTTGTCCCCCAGCTCTGTCTCCTGTCCTGCAGGTGATCAATAAATAGGTTTTTTGGTTATTGTGTTGAAAACCAACCAACCTCAAACAACACTGCACAAAAGCCAGCAGTCTTTGGCTCAGGCGACTGTCCCCAAACCCAAGTGAACAGAGCAAGGTTGGCCGCAGGTGGCAGCCTCTGGCCTCCACGGGGGCAGCAGTGGATTGCAGCCTGCTTCCAGCCCTCCACACACAGCTCCTTGTCCACCAGAACAGCCGTTGTGTGAGGGCTCCCTGGGTGCTGGCATCTTGCTAGGCACTGTGCATGCTCCATTCTATTCACCTGTTGCTATGGTGTCAGGTTCTGCTATTCCTCACAGAGGAGGAAACTGAGGTTTAGGGGCAAAGGTGGGACCTAAGTTAAGCTTGGTTCCAAAGCCCAAGCTCTTGACCACAGACCTAGGATCCCAGCTGCCACGGCTGGGGGTAAAGCAGGCACCCCCTCCAGGGACAGCCTCCAGCCTCCAGAGCTAGCCCTGGGGCTGCACTTGCCTTAGAGCCCCAGCTCGATGGGAGTTTCCCTTCTTCTCCCCATTTGCCCCCAAAGAACCACTCCTTCCGGTCCCTCCCTGCCCCTCAGCAGCTATCTGGAAAAGCCCCACTGAATTTCCACTGGAAGTCCCAGGGCCCCTCAGGGAGCTGTTAGGACTTGGGAGGGGAGAGAAAATGAAAGCTCGCTGTCTTGGGATCCCCTCGCCAAGGTTCATGGGTTAGAGTTCCACCCGAGTAAACAGTGCACTCTTTGAAGCAGTAGCTTTGCTGTCCTCCCTTCTGTTTGGAGAGGAACTGGGGCGGAGCAGCGCGACCGGACCCGGTGGCAGCCGTAGCTGTGTCCCTCTCGGCTGCCAGCGCTCACCTTCCGGGCTCCCGGAGCTCACCTAGCCCCACTTCCTCCTCCAGGAACCTGAGAGGCCCAGGGCCAGGGGCGGGCCGGGCCCGGAGCCACGCAGCTGGTGCATGGCGGAGATCGAGAATCCGGGGCAGCAGCAATCGGAGGCCGACGCTCCATCCCACCACCAGCTGCTCTCATCTGTCACTTGTTGCAAGAAAGAAAGCTGACCAAGCAGGGTGCGGAAGTGCAGGCAAAAACTAACTTTGTTTCTGGAGCTCGCGCCGGGGTCCCTCGGCCCCCTTTCTCACCTGCTGGTTCTTCTTTTTTGCTCCGCGATGCAAGCAAATCCGGCGTAGCCCGCTCGCGTCCCAGGCCAACTGCACAGCCCTCGGCTCGGGTCACTCCGTGGTCTTGGAGGCCGTAGGAGAACGCAACTGCCGCAGCCCCGCCCCACCTCCGAAGGCTCCGCCCCGGACACGCCCCCGCGCCCTATTGGTGGCAGTTTCCCTCCAACAATACCAGGCTCCGTGAAGCCCCGCCCCAGAAAGCCACGCCCAGGAACGCCCCCTGCGGCCCCGCCCCTCTGTGGTCTGCGTCTTCCACCCTGTCAGACCCGTCTGCCGGCCTTGTGCTCTGTCCTGCATCGCGTCCCCTCGACCTGCCCATGCACAGTCCTAATAACGGTCCGGTCCGGTCCTGTAGGCCTCCCTCTCCCTTCCCAGGTGACTCCCTGGCCGTAGGGGCCCTCGAGTCGCCCCGCCTACTACCCTCTGCTGGGACAACTCCTTCCTCCCCCCATTCTGTCGGCCCCTGGCAGCCCAGGCTTAGGGCTGCAAGCCAGGGCCCCACGCCGCATTCCAGGGCGGGCGCATCCGGGTGCAGCGTGGGAGCGGGTTGCGTTCCAAGTCTGGGCCTAGATCAGGAGACAGCCCGAGCTTTCTGAAAATACAAAAGCTACCATGCATTGCCCTGGGACAGGATGTGGGCCAAACCCTTGCGGACACACATGTGGCCCCCCTTTTATTGATGCACAACCCAAGGAACAGAGTGGCAGCTGTCGTGGGCTGTGAGTCCCACGCTGGAGGTGGAGTGACAGCATCCAGTTCAAGCTCTGAATCACAGGCTTGATGCTATGAGGCCTGCCCGGGCCGGCCCCTGTGTAAGTGGCCCAGGGCCAGCATGGTGGGGAGGCTGCCAGAGGCTGGGAGTAGTGGGGGGAACCGGCTGGCTCTCTCCCTCCAGCCAAAATGGCCCAGAACTAGGTAGGTTTTAGGACATCTCCTGATGACCATGCCCCAACTCAGCAGGGCTACTCCAGGGGATTGGGGGGCGGGGAGGCAGGGCCACTGGCAGATGACCTGGGCCATAGCCTGCGTCGCAGCTGACGAAGCTTTTTCACCCCATTACCTCACCAGCACCCCACAACCAGCCTGTGGAGAGGGCTGCAACTGGGCCTGCTTTGCTTGGGTGTGGCGGGTCAGGATGCCAGACCCCACGCCACACAGAGGTTCTGAGTGTGGTCCTGGGTCCAAATCATCCTCTTTTATCAGGGAACTTGTTGGGCACCTGTACTCTGAATCCCAGACTTATCCTGTGGGAAACTCTGGTACCTGGAATAAAACTCAGGGCCTTCACCCTGAGCTACTTCCCCAGCCCTTTTTTTCTTTTGAGACTATGTCTCCTAAGACACTTACATTGCCCAGGCTAGGCTCAAACTTCTGTTCCTCCACACTGGAGTTTGAGAATCAGTAGTGAAGCAGAGAGAGAGGTCTGAGAGGCACCCAGGCCTAGGAAGCCTGCTGGGCCCCTCACAACACAGGGGTGCTTAATCTCTCTGGAATAAGCTCCTACTGGGGAATAAGAAGACATGACGCGGAGGCTACAGAGATGGAAAGTGCTGGTGCGGGGCTGGTGAGATGGCTCAGTGGTCTAAAGCACCTACTTAGAACAAGCTTAGGCAAAGCTACAGGGACCGCGGTTCAATCCCCCAGCACCACACACCAGTCAGCCCGCCCCCTGGTGGGCTCAGCTGGCCACACACACTCACACACACACACACACACACACACACACATATACATATACATAAAAAAAATTTAAAAAAAAAAAAAGAAAGTGCTGGTGCTCGTGAAGTCTTTGGCATGTTGCTCGGACACTGCATGCTCAAGGAATGTTTTCTTTCCAGTAAAAAGTCTGTTTTATAGAATTTTCGTGCCAAGTCATGCAAGTGGGGCTGAAGCACCCTGTCCAGCCAGCAGTGTCCTTCTGGGTTGTCCTTCCCACCAAAGGACAGCATCTGTCCTGCAAGGACCAAGGTCCTAGCAAGTTCGCTTGGGGAGTGGATGCCCCTGCTGGCCCAGGGACCATGCTTTGAGGATCAGAGTGCTCTTCTGTTTGGGACTGGGTTCCAGCTTCTCCCTGCCCGACCTGCAAGGTGGTCCTGAAAGGCCCTCTGTCATCCTCTACAGCCCCACACTGGGGGTGTTGGTGATGGTGACTTGCAATTGGCAAAGCAGCTGGATTCCACCCCCCTTTCCCTCACATGGGTCACATCTGCTGCCCCTGCCTGTCTCTGCCACTCTGGATTAGAGATGGAGTCAGCTGCAGGGACAGAAGGCCAGTATGCAGGCAGCTTTTGGGGTTTGCCGTGCCCACCGTGGGTGTCCCCAAGGAGCTCCTGGCCCAGAGCACCATCATGTTATACAAACCCAGACAATCCCTAAGTTGGGAAAGTGAACTGAGCTCTCGACCCTGCACCTGCACACTTATCAAACTGGAAAGCAAAATGTTACTCTCCTGCCTTGGCAGATGTCCTTTGTAACCACCAAGAAGACCTTGCTTCATTTGAGAATTCCTGGACTCTGGAATTCTGTGCAGGTCCATGGGGTTGCAGGAGGGCCAGCCCATCCCATCCACCTGCTTCTTGTCCCACGTCACTCTCTGCACTGTCACAGTGGCCCAGGTCTCAGCACAGGGACATGACAGGCACATGCCCTCTTGCCTGGGGACTGAGGCAAGCAGCTGCCACCAAGCCTGGAACCTCAGGGGTCAGCCGCGAGGTAGATGCCTACTGAAGCGCACCCGACCTCTCTGTATGGCTCTCCCCACATTGTCACTTTTCTCTTTGCTAGCAGAAGCCAGCTTGGACACAATCTACATGGCATCTTGCAGGGGAAGAGAGCAGACACATTTCTAGCAAGAGACTCCATCTATGGTGGAATTAATTCTTGACCTTTCTGTAGAGCGGAATCCAGGGTCTCTGGAGAGGGGAGGAGTTGGGAAGAGCTACTCTAGGAAGCCCTGATAGGCGATGTCACAAGGCCAGTGTGGAGGCGGTGGGATGACTACACTCACTCCAAGGTGCAGAGCCATGGGGTCCCCAGCCTCTCAGATGCAGCCCCCACACACAGCAGCAAAGCACTCCTGCAGCGGATCTGCAGGTCCCTGTTGGCAGGTTCTTGTTGGTACCTGGGCCCAGCCAAGGCCCCATAACTTTTGTGCAGCTCTGGGAGGGTAAAGAACTGATGCCATATATGCTTCCTTTTGCTTTTGCTTACATCCATTTTGCAGTGCTATAACAGAATCCCTGGAGCCAGTAGCTTTATAAAGAAAAGAGGTTTGTTTTGGTTCTGAAGGTCCAAGTACTGTAGGCAGCCGAGTTAGATAAAAATATTATAGGCAGTCAGACGGGGCCAGGCCCTCAAAGGAGATAGCACACAAGATGAGATGCCTTACAACTGTGGGAGGGGTGGATGCTCCTGCTGTGAACCAGCCCTAAAGACCTAAAGGCCAAACAAATGCTAAACGAGTAGCACCTGGGATTGAGATTCTAAATAGGTATCCATCACCTGGAAAGACCCAAGTGAGTGACTAGCCCAACCCACAACAGAAAGAGACCCTACCCCACATTCCAACCCCCAACAGGAAAAGACCCTGTCCCATATGTAATCCCATTGGTTGACCATAGTTTTGTCCCACCTCCTGCCCACCTAAGAGAGTTCCCATTCTCTCTACCTTAGCCTCATATGGTTTTACACTATAAAAGTCCCTGGAAGAGACAGCTTCCAGGTGAAGTACCCACTTGGGGCCCCCTCCTGTCCCTCTCTTGGACAGGAGCTTTCTTTCTCTCAATAAATATATTCTGCTCATAACCTCCGTTTGTTCCTAAAATTCATTCTTCGGTTTTAGAGAACACGAACTCGTGCAGGTCAGGTCCAGAGATCGTTTTTCTCTGTGTCATTTGGAGGTTCCCTGTATGGTTTGGAGGTCACCCACCCCAGACCAGTTTTTCTCCCTGTATCACAAGGTTGAGGCTCACATCTAATGCTGCTTGTGGGAGGACCTTGGGGCTTCACCGGACATAGCAGGGCAAGCGACAAGGAACATGCATGTGTGTTTCCCTCGGTGTCCCTCCTTCTTGTAGCAGCTTTTGTTTGTTTGTTTCTTGTGTAGTCTAGCTATATGGTTCAGGCTGGCCCTGAACTTACTGTGTAGCTCAGGATAGCCTCAATCTTGCAGCAATCCTCCTGCCTCCGCCTCTTGCGAGCAGGATCTCAGGTGTGCAGCACTGCACCCAGCCCCCCCTTCTTGTAGAGCCATCAGGATTGCATCGTGGGGGCTCCACTCTCCTGATTTCTCCTAATGCCCTCCCAGAAGCCTGACTTTCAGTATTACAGTAAGCTTAAGTCATCGAAGGGGGGTTAGATTCCAACAAGAACCCACGGGGCACTGCGCTCAAAGGGCATCTGAAGCATGTGCTGTTGCAATCCTTGCTGTGTTTACTTAGCCCATGAGAGTGCAGTTTGGTGGTCTCGGGCAGCGAGGCCTCATCTGTGGCCCAGGCATGGGTAGTCGCTGGCTCTCTGGGGCCAGGGGAGGTCCCATACACTCACATGGGTAGCAAGCTGTGAACCCAGAGCTCACCTGGCTCTGGGGACCATGGGCCCCTTGTCCTTCCAAGTGGCTACTTCAGGAGGCTGAGGCATCCTCCCAGGGAGGCTGCCGGGCTTTGGAGCATCATGTGTCATCTCATGACCTAGTTTGGGGGTCAGGTGACATTGTTCCTTTGCAAGGGACGAGCCACCCAGAGCCCACACCCTCTGCCCATCTTTCCCGCAGCCAGGCTTGAGGTCAACACGGCCGCACCCCAGGTCTTGCCTTCCAAGTGGTCTGCGTGTGCCCCACTGAAGGATGCCCAGAGCGCTCTAGGTGGGAGTCCTTGGGGTGCCACAGGGTTCTAGAATTGTTTGGGGACCAGAAGATGATGAGGACAACTTTGGGAACTACAGTCTGCAGAGCGGCCAGAGCACTTCCTCTGACTGGAGCTGGGAGCCTGAATTTAACTCACTTTAAAGCAAGACACCCATTTCTTCAGTTCTGAGCAGAGTTTGCACCTCCCTCCTCTCCATCAGCACTTGCTGTTTGGCTTTTCTTTACCTTAT